ACTCATTCAAGCCAGCTCCATTAACGCATTTTAGTGCACACCATTAATTGTATCTAACCTGTGCGGATCCTCTTTTACCTCCGTATCGCAATCTTTGCTACCCTCATTTGAGACATACTTGCAAACTTTTCCAAACTTTGAGTCACACGGCAAATTTTATGGTCTCAAGCAGAAGCCAAATAGGTGATCTCTGTGAAAACCAATCTGCGACGACTGTCGACCTCCAAGTAGTAATTCTGTCAAGCAATTTGTGCCTTCTTTTTCGGTCACCTTTTGCATCTCAGATCAGTTCCAACCGAAGGATACACTAGCTTATGCGGCCCCGCAATGCTTTCTAACGCACCTAGTCATACTATGGACACGCCGACATCAAATATGGCCGATAGCGCTTGCAAAGAGCCAACCAAATAGCCACGCGCACTGAGAGTTGATATATTCATATGCAGCTGCGTTGAACCGAGAGGCATGCAAGCACATAAACACGTTAACGGGATGATTTGTAGCAACCGATCAGAAGATGCTGCGTCGAAATCTGCCAGAAAGTTAAGCGTAAGTATGTTAATTTCTTGCCAGTAAAACATCAGAACAGGAATCTAATTTTCTAACTGATTTCATGTTGTTTATTCTAAGGGCGCTTAGCTCTTATCAAAAGAAGTGCGGCTGCACCGGGGCACAACCATATCACTATACTTTTTCCCAGTATGTGGGGCCATTATACTAGCCAAGATTTTACTTCAAGTGACACCGAAGTACTATAGGCTAATGGCTATGGTTGAAACAAATGGCGTACGTCATAATGCACTGGTAGATGATCAACATGCCTCTGGCCTCCAGGGCTGGAGAGCCTGTTAAGATAGCGCTACCTCTAGATTTTTATGTCAAACAATTTGACAATACCATCAGTGACCCAGGTGCACATGAACCAGCCCTATAATCTACCATAGAGATTGATTCCCACATATCATTCGCCACGAGTAGAGCCATGCGACCATGATAGAACCATAGTACATCTTAGCTGACCTCCAACATCCTTCAGTGAGAACTACAAGATTGAATTGCGGGAGTTACTTGCAATCATTTCGCGCTTTAGTCATGTCTGTTTATCCACCAGATTCCGAGCGGTAGTACCCGAATTCACATGTTGAATTATTTCGTATCATCATACATTAAAATACACCAACAGATTTCTTTAAAGTTTCCAGTTAGCATTTGTTGGTTATACCATTAAGAATATTTAGATGGAATTTGCTGACAGGTTAACTGACCTGATCACACTTGCTACGGCATTCAGTCCTCTTTATTCTCTAACTGCCTCGCTCCGGTTTCGGAGCAGCGCTGCAAGTGGAAATTGGAGGGTCGGGTTCAGGGCTTATTATCCAGTGCACTTGAGGTGGACCGCAGTTTTTAACAAGTATCATTGTTAGGGCTATGTTTCTTTTTAATCTTCGCCTCGCACGTGTCATCGATCTAACATTTTAACTTTCGCCTGTGGCATCAATAGATGGCGAATGATCGGTCACTGGGAACAACACAATTCACTCCAACGGGATCTGGACTATGCAGGTGAGTGATCAAAGTCAATTGTGTCAACGCCTAAAACGGCATAGTGCAAGCGTTATTAGTCAGATGGCAAATACTGGCTGGCAGAACACATCTAGTGCACCACCTCATAGAAGTGAAACCACTGTTTACTAATTCAAAATTACCTCATCTGTTCGAATTAATACACTAAGGTGTCAAAAACCATGAGCTAGCATGTTTGGTCTGTTACGGATGTCGTTCATCCAATCCACCCTCCCACATCTGCTTACAATGCTCAGTGTGTGCATGAGTCCGCAATTTCAGTAAGAAATTCAGGTCTGACAACCCTAGTTAAAACACCATGTGGTTGCACTGAAGACCGCGCAGCGATGAGCAACTAAAATAGAAACCACAATTTCCACTTTCCATAGAAAATGTGACTGAAAGCAATATGAGTGTACAGAGGAACCTATCGCCACCTAAGAGTGCCCCCATGCCGTCCTATCAGCTTTTGAAAACCGCAGTTATCTTTTCCGTCACCACGGGACCACTGATCGTAAAATCTATAGGGTCTTTAGCTGACGCTGGCCGAAAAAGCAGTCAGTTGGAATGTAGTAAAATCTTCCTCTAAATCGATTTTCTCAGTTGTGAGACGAAAACCCGACTTGTGTCATTTTCGTGTCCATGTTAAAGATTGTTAAAAAACAACCTGAATATGCCCTGTCCTATATGCACTACGTGACAACACATTCTTTGGTTGCCGAAGAAACTCAAATCAATTGTGTGCACATCAGCACGCCTCCACGAAATTCATGTAGGCGGTTAATCTATGTGCTAACGTAAATACCACGCCGAGCCCACAGATGCACGGTTTACTAAACTGGCAATTCTTAATTGTACTTGCCAATTTCACATAAACGGTCCTATCGTCTTGCCGACATTTGACTGGTTCCATTGATATCATATTTCTTTATAGTCTCTTTGCGATAAAGGCCCAAGGTTATCCAGACATGCCGTTACTTAGCAAGATATACGAGCTCTTCATTGACATCAGCTGTTTAGTGAGCAACCTATAGCGTTGGAAGAGAGATGTCGCTGTGTTACAATCCATATATTTCACTAATGGCGTTGGCGTAGTCAGCCGGTGTCAAGGTCGAGTTATGAAAGAAATAAAACAAGCGACTTCTTTCCTTCCTTCTCATGGTGAAAAAATATGAACATGGAATACTTACCGGCAATGTTTGCAGTATTTATGATGGCCAACCTAATACTGTGTAGGTCGGAGGAACATGCGGGTGAGTCACTCAGGCTGTTTTTCCATATCTATTTAAGTTGAGGAAATTGAAAGGCGGGAAATTGTAATTTTACTCAGTATGCACATCTGTTTACGGCTATCAACAATGGTAATTAACCGCGCAGTAACATCTCTAACGGGCTGGATATGACGTGTTTGTCTGCAAGGTTGAAAGCTAGGCACTTTTATCATAAAACTGGTCATATCTGTAGGGGAATGTGAGACAAGAAATAACTAAAATGGAACCAGTGTATTACGCTACTGCACAAGTCAAGTTTTCTTACCTGGAATATCGCGTAACCCTGTTATAAATATTCCTGCGATAAACTTAGCTGAGTTAGGGGGAAGTGATAATTATGAACACGGATACATGCGTTGCACAGTTGGCTACATTTGACCAAATTGTGTTCATTTGCTTTTCTCATACACGGCGCCCTTCAAATTCGGTCACAGCTTGTCACGCAAATGAGCCGTTTATGCATTTCAATCCATGTGACCACGAATTTTCTCGACCTTTTGTAGTCGAAAGTTTGATTGGTAATACTAACCACTTGACAGCAAACCGTGCAGTTCCGAAGCTCGGCTTACCTCTAGTGTGCTGCAACTGCTTTGCTTTCCCATGTGGTAAAATTAGAACATACAGCAGAACTCACATTTTCGTAATCCTCACAAGTGTCTATCGCATTCATAAGTTAAATTAACCAGCTCACGCTGTCTGCGTAGTATAAGCCTGTTTGGCTTTGTACGCATAATGCACACTGGTGTATTGTATGCACTACACAACGAGCAGTTTCACATTGCACAGGCTGGTCATAATACTCCATGAGACATAAGCAAACGGGGAACTGTGAAATGCCCATATCGAACAAGTTTGTGTCTGTGCACTCTAAAGAATATTCCGCAAAATTTTCTCCACCTTGGTTGCTGTTATTTACACTTCAACCGTCAATATTCTATTCCTGGCTTACGTAAATGTTACCCAAGTCATCTGCTGATTCATGTGACCTGAAGAAGCTTTGTGTTGCGAGGCTAACCTTTGCTTAACAAATATAACGGCAGGTTGGAAATTAAACGATGCGAACCAGGGAACACTGCACTCTAAGACCGGGTTTGAACTTATTTGCCCTCACCGGGTAGAGACAGCACGCTCGGGAGCCAAGTGAGATTGGGATGTCCTCCGAAGCTTCTTCTGTAGTATACCAAAACGCGGCGCGAACGCTTCCGTCCTCAAGAAGTTATGATATCTTCACTCCTGCGTCGGTTATTAACTTTGACTTCACCTTAAAATGGTCGGTAGTTAGTTGGCCATTACACATCCAAACCAACGCTTGAACTGTCGTTGGAACTTCATCGTTAGACGTTGCGAGCACCAACGTGTACTTCGATTGAAGCATGCAATTTGAATTAGACCAACGGTTCACAGTATAGAAATACTCGGCCAATGCTATTGCTGGGTATGCATGTCACTAACTATTCACAAGATAGCTACCTCGAAACCCAGCAGTAAGCCTGTGGAGGAATAATCTGCACACCATGTTTGCAACCATAATGTCCCCGGTTCGAATCCGCGCAGGTGTAGGCGTCTTCGCGGTATACTCAGTCCGCGTTCGACTGGTGTCGGTCGGACGGGAGCAAAGAGCAGTTACGGCGAACAGCGGCCACACTATTATTGGTAGTAACAATACTATAATTATTAAGTTAATCGGGTTAAATCCTTCCGAAAGAAATGGGCAAATTGTTCCTTAGAAACTAACCCGTGAACTCAGTATTTCATTGTTGTTTTTGTGCTGTAGAGAGAAAGGCAGACCTAACCTGCAACGAAATCCACAACGGCAAAACAGAGGGAACAATTCACAACCCACTGTACCCCGACAGTGATCATGGTTCCAAATTCTGCAATTATCAGCTTACGGTTCCCTCCAACTATCAAGTTGCTCTGAGCTTCCCTGACCTTGAAGTAAGTATAGTTGTCTGGTTTGTTCATGACGAAAATGCATGACACTCCCATCAGAATACCCAGAGTAAGCTCCCTAAAATTTGTTCAGGGTAGCCGGTGAGATGGTTTTTTGTTGCGTTCGGTGGTGATGTGTGCTTACTTTTTAACAGAACAACTCACATATTAGATACGAGATGTGAAGTGATTCTTAAGCAAATTGAAGCTGTCATTCTTTGGTTTCTCTTCTAGTCGGCGTATTACGACTTGGCAATCTTTTTCTTTGACGGCCCCGATTGTATGTCCCGATGGATCGGATATGTGTGGTATCCGGAGAATAATCCACTCATTTCTCCTGGAAACAGTATCACAGCATTGCTGACTGTTCAACAAGGAGTTAGTGTTTGGAGATTCAAAGGAAATTATTCTACAGGTAAGTTGTACCTAATCCACACTGTATATTCTGGTAATAGGCAGAAAACATCGCTGTGTGATTAGGGACTATTTAGGTCACTGATAAATGATTTCATTAACTGCTTCAAGTTGCGTAGAATTGCTAACAAGTTTATTCGCTATAATTAAAAATAGTATAGTTTATTTAAAATTTATTTGTTGATATCGATTCTTCAAAGTGGCGTGAAGGCTAAGCACTTTTGTATTAACATGGCATTTAAACAATGGGCAGTCCTTTATGCCGTGTAAAAAGCGTTTGCTTGACAAGTGCCGCAGAATAGTGCAAGTAGGTTTACAATGTCAAAAGTGGTGTGCTTTGTCTGTTTGAGCTTCTATCTAGAAAATGCCCTGCTGGATAATAGTAGGGTACCTGGGAATTGAATGTGAACGACGTTGCAAAATGGGGACGGTAATATTTCATGTACTCCGTGAGTAAAGCAATAACGAGAATACTAACATCTATACAGCCTCCTCAGACTAATGTGAAAACTTAATCCGGTTTGTTGGAATAATTATTGTATTCTGAATTAGCGCAGTATAGGCGACGAACTGATTGGGGCCAGGGGCAAGTCCCAATCGTTTATTGAAATGACCCAAATTATGGGAGGAGTCAATAAAGCTTGGGAGAAAGTTCTAAGGTTTGAAAACCCGAAAAGGAAAATATTTCCCCCGGCATTCCAGGTGGCTAAACTGTTTACATACTTTCAGACGGTTACTTCTGAGATTGGTGTTATGGCTGAGTTTCAGCAAGTGACGGCATTTGTGATAAGGCTCACTCACTCTTCGGCAGACTAATATGAGATCGCCGCGCAGCCTTCGCCAGCGGCCACTGAAAGTCCCAGTGAATTCAGCCGTTGCTGCTAGGACAGATTTCGCAGGCCCTTGACGTTATTTGTGGCCCTGCGTAGTGGTTTCTCAGACACATCTAAATCGCACTTCAACCAAGGTTACCAAGCTTGCATGACGTATTCAACATGAGGGCGCACATGAGCATTGTGCATCAAGAGTAAGGTGGATGGGCCGCATCTCGCGAATGCAGTTCGCAACAAGCCGACGTGCTGGTTGGCTCTTTTAGCAGCTGCCACTAGTTGACTTGAACAGTTAAGGTCACTTTGAATGAGTATACGATGGTGGTGTTCTTGGGAAGCTTTTTATAATGCATTTGACCCAAGTCTATATACGTGGTCTTACCTACGGTGAAATGAAACTTGGTAACATATTTTCACGTTCAACACTATTGTATTCAGAATTAACCAGTTTAAAGTCGTGTTGAGGCCAAGCTGGAACCCCCGTGATCGTTCGATTCTCTGCTCGCTCGCCATAATCTGATATCATCCAGAGAGAACAGCAAATTGGAAGCAATTTTCCTCGCCAGATGGCCTATGAAACTTAAAAATGGCTGGGGACCGAGCACCAAGCCTTGTGGTATGCCACACTATAAATTGCGTCAGACTGGGATTATCTTACTCTCAAATCCAACCGAGTTTCGTGCAGGAATTTGTCTATCTAACGCAGCAGTGGGCCACAAGTGCCGTAGAGCTCTAGTTCATGAAGGAGAATTTGCTGGTCTAAGTGATAGAATGCTTTTGAACTGTGTATTTAAATACATTGACTCCTGCTCCACATCAACTGCTTCAGTCTAGCTATTGCTTGCAATTAGCTGGTTTTTAGTGCTTGAGCGTTTCTTTTGGAAGCCATGTAAAGTCCCGGGGAGTAGCGTTATCGAATGGTAATTATTTGTGTCAGCGCAACTACCTAGCTAATGACTAGAAGTGATATAACCTCTCTTCCATACTGCTGGGATATGGTTCTGCTCCATACGGTGCTGACAGAATATGGGCAATGTTTTACCGGATCCTTAGCTGTTTCCTGTACAGCCTTCGGTCGAATGGTATGGACAACTTAAGGGCTGTGGATGCTCAGAAACAACAGTTTCTTTATCAACATTTCTACAGTAAATATCATGTTGGTAAAGCTGGGGGTGAGACACTAGAAACAGAGAAAACTTTTGGACCCGTTACTCCATGAAACTTTGGTGGTTTATGGAACAGTAATAGTTCGTTTGCTTCCTTTGCCGATCGCGTGCACTCCCCGTTTTTGACCATTGCTGAAATTCCACGTTACACCTTCGGAAGGATATTAACGTGGCTTCAATGGTACAATGGTTCAATGGTGTATGCTGGGATAAAAAGCACAACTTTACAAGACCCATAGGATGGATATGCAAAAGAAAATTAAAATCAAAATGTTCCAACGTGGAACGTAAATTATCAGTGATTAAATCATTGCACTTTAGCAAAGTGTTGTGTACCGTTTATCACTAAGATGAAAATCTAAGAGTCTTTCGAATGTCCTCATGTCTGGTGCGTTCACCACATAGTTTGGTAATGCATTCCAGTGAGAACAGATTCTAAGTGAGAAAAAATACTTTCTACAATTCAAACGAGAGTGTTGTGTCATTAGTTTCAGGTGGTTGCCTCGGTTATGCTTGTATGGGGCTAGAGTCAACAGTGGTGTACATGGCTGCTCGCTTTCGGTTAGTATCCGGTATGGGAGAGTAAGATCTCCCCGAAGCCTTGGGTATTCTAATGTGAGCACACCGAGTACACGAAGACGCATTTCGTAACTTATACCGGATAGTCCACGCTTTGCCTTTGTGGCTATTCTTTGGGGCTGTTCCAAGAGGCGGATGTCTCGTTTTAACCATGGACACCAGGCATGAATTGCATATTCAACAAGAGTACGAATGTAGGAGTTAATCAACAATGGTACTAGCTGTCGCTCAAAAGTGCCGATTGCTCGCCTCAAAAGTCTCAAGTTCAAGTTCGCCACACTTGCTGCTTTCGAACATTGGAGCGAATTTCCAAGACGCTCTTGCACGATTATACCTACGTCGCGTTCATTAGTCACGTGTTGCATGACGTGTTGCCCCAAAAGTTAGGTGTTGACAAAGCTGTTGTGCACCGTCAGCAGGTGGCACTTTGCAGGTTTCAGTGGGAGCTGGTTCTTTTCTGCCCATTAGTTAATCAGGGTCAGATCTTCCTGGAGGTAGACACGGTCGGATGCTGAGCTAATTGCTGTCCATATTTTAGCATCGTCCGCAAATATTTGCATTGGCGATAGAATGTCTGCTTGAAGGTCATTAATGTAGACTAAAAATAGTAGCGGGCCGAGGACGGATCCTTGTGGTGCAACACTGGAGACGTAAAGGCTTTAAGAATATGTGTCGGCTACTCTTACCTTGATTGCTCTGTCGTGTAAGTAGTCTTCCAACCAGGTGAGCAGGGAACCGTTGATACCGTAGGCAGCAAGCTTTTGGAGGAGAAAGAAGTGATTGACCCTGTCGAATGCTTTAGAAAAATCCAGCTATATCACATCTATGGGCATTCCTTCATCATCGGCCCTGGTCCATAATCCCTAGTAATCAGCAAATTGGTGAGACAAAATCGTCTGCCTCGGAAACCATGTTTGCCATTAGAAATTATCTGCTGACTTTCAAAGTATCTCGTCAGTTAATTTGCGATTACCGATATGGTAACTTTTGATAAAACAGGAAGGAGGGTAATAGGTTGGAAGTTAGCAGGATCCGAGCGCTTACATCCTTTATATATTGGAGTGATAACTCCGTTTTTCTACTCAGATATGAGTGTATGGGAGCTAAACAGACATTGGAAAAAGGTTGAAAGTGGTGTTGCTATGGTGGGAGCAAGGGTTTTTAGTACTTTTGGGCAGATCATGTCGATTTTAGGGGCACGGTACTCCCGGAGAGACTGTAGTTTGCTTGCAACAGCTGCTGGAGTAAAGATGACGCTGGATAAGCCAACGACATTAGTTGGGAATTGATAGGGCGAATGTTCCTTGACATTTGTAGCTACCGAGCCAAACTGCAAGAGTAGAGCATTCGCGGCATCCACAGCATTAGTTGTTAGGCCACTGGTCGTCCTGAATGATGGTATTCCGGGCTTAACCTTTCGTTTGCCAATCACAAATCTGCATAGCAGTTTGGTGTTACTCGTAAATTTCAACACCATATTCTCCTGCCATTCATACTTTTCGACCCTAATGAGTGACGTGCAGTAGTTTCTGATGACTTTGTAATCCTGTCATGTGATATCACATGGTCTTAGCAAATGTTACCTCAAGATTTCATCTCTTCTGTTGATCCATTTACGTGTTCTGCTCCGGATCCACGTATTCGTCCGGCGCGATGCTCGGAATGGTACAACCTTCGATGCTGATTGTATGATCCAGTTAATTTTGTCTTTCAATTCATTCCACGCGTCATTTCCTGAGCTGTGCATCTGTAGGTCCCAGTCAACGGTTAATGATATGCTGCGCAGCTTATGATAGTCCGTAATGGTGCGGTAAGTCTCCCTTTCTTTAGCAACAATACTGGCACAACATACATAACCAAATGTTAGGACTGAGTGGTAGCTAGGGCCCAGTGGACGATCGGATGCTACTGACTCAATCATCAAGACTTCATTAGTCAGGATTAAGTTCAGGAGTGATGGCTTGTTTGAATCGCGATGTCTGGTTGGTCGATGCACATGGTTATACAAAACTACCATATCCATGAATTCGAGAAGTTTCGATTTAAATGATGGCCCATTAGGGGGACATTGATGCCATTGAAGGAACATCAAAGTCATCCATTATAAGATAGTGAGAGTACTTTTGCGAAACAGCATAGCGGAGAGCGTTTAACAGAATGTTATCGCTGTCTGCTGATGAGTTCGGAGGTCTATAAATAACTGCTAAGAGGCAAGCATCACTCTTATTGTGTGAACCAACATCTCGACCTGCTAGGTGCAGTCGGCAAAATAGTGCGTCGGGAATAACAAGGGAAATTTCGGTAAATGCCTCACATTTCAAATAATCTCTATAGTAGAGAGCAACACCAGTCAGTCAGTCATCACGTTAGCTGGAGGTGGAAAACACCTCAGCTATTGTGCCGCAATACAACACCGCCACCGCGAGATGGACGATCATTTCGAATGACTGCCATCTCACTGAGTTCCATCTCCGGATCAAGTATGTCTTTATAGAGCCAAATTTCAGTGACTGCGATGAGGTCCCAAGTTGTTGTTTCATGTCGGTGGCGCAGCTCCGAGAGCTTAGAGTACAACGCTTGAGTGTTGGTGTAACAGCATTGTATTTGTTGACGCATCAGGAGCTCGGTTCGCTGGGAGTGACCGGCACAAATAATGCCGGTCTACTGAAGTTATTTAAAACGGTTGTTTGCACAGTTGGCTGATTTGTGATAGGTACAATTGAGGCTGGCTCATCTGTATCTGCGGTCTGTACTAATTGAAGGAATGGTCTTAACCGTACTTCCGGTGGCCCCAGTTTTCTGTTGTCATGCCATGCTTGGATTGCCACTGATACGTTTTCGGGCGCAGCCAAGGTAACTTTCAAAATTCGTGGCCCGCTACCTTGGTAGTTTGTGGAAGCAATTAGACGGATGACTTCAAAAGCCACGACATTCTTCATATCGTATAGTTCTGTGATGTACCGCCATGGTTCGATGTCGTGCTTCTGTCGCTTACTGCTATTGTCATGCTTCAATTCTGACACACCATGAACCAGTACCACTTTCTTCATCTCATTTTGACGTGACGGACTAGGGTTGAATTTATGCTTTTGTCTTTCTGCCCATGGCCTGTCAGGAAAAATGCGGGCACTGACAGAAGAGTTCACTAGCATGTGGCTTTCTAAGAGAACATCTTCCAGGTCACGCGTGTTGCCAAACGTTACTCACAGTAACCGGAGTTCCCTAAGTGTAGAGATGATGGATTTCGTGAAAGGCGTGTAAGACTAGCTGGGAGAACTTTCAGTCCGAGTGCGCAGGTTATTTAAGCCCATCGGTTTTACTCCTCGGTTTATCTACCTTTTAACGATTCGCTAGTGGGTACTGGGACGTTTGAACATATTACTGTCATCGCCTTTTGGTTGTGTAGTAAGTGTTTGCCCTGCACTTCCTTGTGAGTGCAGGTTTGTCGAGTGGAGGTGTCTGGCTTGTCTTCTGTGGATAAGAGTTTGCAGTTCATGCAGTATCACTTCATTAACTCCTTCTGATGCGGCACCACTTTCTCGCGGAGCAAATGCATACAGAAGTTACTATGTGCCACATAGGCAGTCAAGGTTTTGGGATTCTGGAAGTCCTTGTAAGCACTCGACGTTAAATTCCTCAAATACATGTATCTGTTTGTCCTGCTCCACAAATGTGTCGCATCTTCTTTGACGATGGAAGGGTTTCTGCTCAAACGCGTGCGTTATCTGAGTAGTGAAGTTCCTTTGCGCCAGATCTGCGGTTAGGAATGCACTGCGGTTCTGCTTAGTAAACGTCGGTTTGAGTGTTTCGGCTAGGAGGTTGGATTGCTTAGCGGGCACTAAAGAAGGTTGTAGAAAGGGTGTTGCATTGATCGTGCTTGGTCAAAAAGACGACGTACGGCAGTTTCTTGGTGCATTTTTATCGAGGCGATCGATGCGTAGTTTAATGGGCTCTGGACTGTCAGTTTTGTGACCAACTATTGAGATATGACATCTAGAGGTGAGTTAATTGGCGGATTTGGCTTCCTAATTACATAGTTAAAAATTGTTGGAGTGGGTGGCGCAGATGCCTTTGGGCGGTTAGTAAGACTGACTTTTGGCCTCGTTTTTAGGAACAGTGTTCTGAGGAGCTTTCAGTAGAACAAGAGCGTTAATGTTAGATTCTAATGGTAAAGCATTTTAGCTAGATATCTACTGGGCTGTTTCATTCGGCTTTTTAAAAGCTTCTATTTGGATTGTTCTGCAATCTTGGGAAGATTAGTGTGTAGCACTCATTTATTTTATTTTATTATTATACATTACATTATACATTATACATTTAGCTGACTTAAGCCAGCACAGTGTGGGTAAGACAGAAGATCGCAAAAGAAGCAATTATTGTCCATTTTGACTACTGGTGCGCAACGCTGCTTACTACATGTGAGGTTATATGGAATCAAATCAATTTAGAGCCATTGTTGCAAACAAACGCTGTTTTGTGTGGTCACGTAAGGAAGAGAGCAAGTGACGATTGCTTGCATTGTTCCAGTCGCACGCTCAACATCGTTTTACCGTAGATAATTGTGTCACGGCGAGGACACACGTACGCGGAGTTTGTCTAGCTTCTTGATCTACACTGTTTCCTGTAAGACAACCCCGTTGGAATTGGCTTGTTTTGGGTGGATAATAGCCACAATCGCCGGCGTTGAGCGAATGTACTTGAAACCACAGATTGAGTCGTTGCTTCGTTAGGAATGGTCTCATAGATGTAATTCTCGGAACACCAGATAGCGCGAAGTATACTTGGTCGATCTCAGTGCCGCAGCAGCGTAAACTGATAAAATAACTGGGTGGCGCGTGCAGATAGAAGCACCAAAACCGTTAAAGCAACTTGGGTAACACAAATCATTTTCGGTAGGAAATAATTTTCGTAAACACATGTCCACTGAACCCGGGGACTTGGTACGATTAAAATGGTCGTATGTTGACCTTGGAAGTGAAAGACAAGAAAATCTGAGACAGGCTGGAGCACGTTTACTATGCGGCAGGTCACAAGACACTTTAAGATGTGACTACATGGAAGTTTGCTACTTTTCAATTTTAACCAATTTTGAGCGCTCAGGCATATCCTGTCGTAGCGCTGTGTTAAATAGAAAGCTTGTTAGTATAAATCATCTGCTATATATTGTGTTCCGTGAACAACGCTTGAAAACTTACTAAAGCCCAGACGGTGTTTGTTCCTGTATAAGCGGACAGACCCTTACTGTAATGATGGTTTTTGCGAATCGAAGCTAACAGCTTCATCAATGGCCTACTGGCCGCGTGCGTTCATGTGGACAAAGTTCAATAGCATTTGTTAATTTGAGGCAATAATCAAGTAGGTACAAATTCAGCTCTTTTTGTGTGTATGTGATGCAACAATAAGCCAATTAAAATCCCTGAAAAGCCACAGCTATATTCCCGACTGTAGGGATTTTGCACTGTGGTTCCTCCCACGACGCATTTCACCAAAAGCACCAGGATTGCGTAAATTGCACAAACTGTAACTGTACCGGAAATGAACACCATATAGTATAGACAAAACGGCTGCATATTAGGCACTAGCAAGCGGTAGTGCTTGTGACTGTCCTATAGACGGAAGGGCAGTGGCCAACATAACATATCCACTCTTGCAACCGACGACGTAGTAATTAAATATAATGCGGTTAACATCTGACTTCATGACTTCTCTAACTATCAAACTTCAGAATTGGGTTCACTTTGAGCGACACAATTTGGGCACCGTTGTATGCCCCGGTTGACTGGTATGAGGTAGGAAAATCGAATCTGTTTCCTCAGAATTCAATGCCTTTACCGCATGAATGAATGATATTAACCGTACTTTGATAGCCCATTTCTGTCGTTGTCGTGCCAAGTGTTAGCCAAGTGTTAGTTAACGTTTTCTAGCATTAGCCAATATTCCGCTACTTGCGTAAATTATGGATTTCAAAAAGTGTGTCACACTAGGAGGACGAATAGTCCGTGTTGTCTGCTAATCATAACTCAATGGTTTTGCTCCTCGCATTATCTGCTATGTAAAAATTTGCTAACGGATTCCGTGAGGTTTGGACAAATCAGGTGTATCGCCTTTCGGTTGCATAGTAACGTTTTCTGTAGATATTTGTTGTACAGCATGCAACGTGAAAACAGGTGAAGTCGTTCGCAAGACTGTTTATGTGCAACAGTGTTAGTCGTCCCATCTCTACTGGTCAATTGTTTTTGCCCATCGAAGAACGGAAGTGTCACTCCCATTGCTGTATTATTAAATTGCCATGCAATATTTATCATGATGTTGCAGACCGCGCAGCTTTCCTGCAGGGATTTTAACAATTAAATGATTGGGGATGCGTAATACACTGCACTTTGATTCGAGTCCAGCGGTTTGCATTCTCCCTACCACGGCATGTTTCTTTTGCTCGGCTGGCGAAGCAACCATTATTTCGCATCTCGTTACGAGGGTTTGAGGAATCCTAAACATATGACTATCTGAACGTGCACCACAGAACTACCAAGGAGTTCGCATACGCTGCTCTTTCCATTTAAGTTAAGGTTGTTTCTTAAAAGGAATTGACTGATTACGACCATGTCATCCTAGGATTCTCGGTTTTGAACTACAGCTTGTTGTTCACTGGTTTTCTAGGCAAACTACCTCTCACGCCCATGGGCCAATGCTTCGTGTGCACTCCGGTTACATCGATTGTTAACAAAGCTAATATTTACCTCAGTCAGCTGGGATTACCGCTGTGCCAGCGGGCTTGTTAGTGGAACGTCACTTGTAGCACCGGCGGATGAAATCACAAGAACGTTTACAGACACAGATGAATTATCGCAGTGTTAGATGTAGGGCGGCAAAGTAACCAACAGATACGCTGGATGGCGTTGCACAATCAGATACTATATATTGTCTAGTAACCTGGAAAGAACTCTGTCAATGCGAAACACAATCTCACTGAAGGAACGCAAATAGCAAGGTTGCACCTGTAGGTCTAAATGACTGAATTTCCGAAGACATCATTTGTGTTATGCTTGTCGTTGAACCTGCATCAAAATCATTCATCCCGTTGAATAGAGTTCGGCAATCCAAATCGACTGAGCATAATTCCGAAGACGTGAGACCAAATGAGGTGAAAAACCTTAGTTAACATTTATCAAAAAGTTATACGGCCGGCAAGCGCGCGCTTCACCTCTAAATTGAACAAATAAAGTAAGACAATCTTAGAACATCATTTTAGAAGTTGCATCTATGCTGCCAGTATTGGAACCTATTTCGTTTAATTGCTTTAAGTAACAATATTTCCCAGCTCTCTATTAAATAATCATAATATCATTCTCAACAGATGCAAGCTTACAACCCTTGGTTGCGAGTGTTAGACGGAAGCACCTGTGGAGGCACTATGCTCTCAGAGCTTTCTCCTATTTCCAGCATTCCTCAAAACGGCATCCTCTCCAATAGCAATACGATGACTGTTGTGTACACAGAGGCATTTGTTGGAATGGGATTGACAAATATTGATGCCTCTTTTTCAGAGAGTAAGTGTATTTTAATTCACCTACATTGTGTAGACCGTTTACCATTTTGTTTACCTCATTTTCACCTGCCACCTTTTTTCCATTCAAACAACTCAATCCGTTTGAACGATAAATATTGATGGTAGTGCTCACATTATCTGTGTTCGTTATTGGCAAAAATTCCATACAAATCGGTTGATCGATTTTTTCGTTACAAACGTAATGGCTCATCCCATGACACTTTGCTTTCATAAATATTTGAAGATTCAATGTTTAATGCTAAAATTCGCTGGTTAATTAGGTACGCAATATCAGACGGAGATTTTGGATAGATGTTTCAGACAGAAAACGAGGAAGAACTGATGACCAAAAATTAACAAGAAATTTGCCAGTGAAATGTTTGTCTGTCTGCTCTTACGCCCTGCGCTCCTTGCGACTTAGAATTCTATTGACTGGTTTTTCCAGCAAAATATTGCGTGGACTTGCATGTTCAGTTTTCTTGACATTCGCATACGTCATATTTGTTATTAAATGCGCTATAATGCGGCCTTCGCACTTTCAACACTAGCTGCGGCTAACATACTGGCTGAAAAACTGATATCGGGGGGGGGGGCCGCCGGGTGGGCTAAACGCATAAGGAGAAAATTTTTGTAGACCCTCTAAGCAGCTGTAATTTTATCCAGTCGTTTATTTTTGCACTTAAGGTACATGTTGTGGCGGAAGTTAACGGCTGATACCACGCGGGATTATAGATAAATAACATCCGTTAATCAACGAGTGCACACCATGCTAATTGTGATGGCATCCACCAAAATCTCTTGGCACAATCAGTCCCTGTGCGTAAAGCAAATGGATCAGCCCTTGGAAGTATTTGGACCGTGGACGGTGTAACCTCACCTCTGTCATAGCTGTCACGTCTGAACCACATATTTTACACGCGAGTGTATGCATAGAGCGAAATTTTTATGTGGTGGAAATAAATGTGTCTAAGAGATAGGAACCATTCTGTAAGAACCCAATGTTTTGACACCATTTTGACTACTTTTGGGATTGGAGGCAACATCTAGTTCCTCGTGAACATACAGCCAGCGATTATTTTCACGAGTACAATGCTGTAGATGGCTGTTGCTCAGATTACAATTAAACGCCAAGTAGCGTCGTAAATTCAGCACCCAACATTTACATATGTGGAGCTGAAGATAATTCTGGTCATACAAATGGCAATCCAAAAATGCACAATTCCAATCCCTTAGTCACATTAAGATTGCATGCAATTATCTGTCCCATTGGTATTTTGACAAATTTCAGTATCGCCAACGCAAATTAAATAGTTTTTGAAACAAGGCTCACTCATCGGATTCACATCGGATGGAGTCGGACACGGATTCATGCAATATTATCTCAGGAGGCCTGTTAAAGATCAGTTTTGTAATCTACCTCAGTAGGGAATCATTAGTGAGGTACCTCAAAAGCACGGTGAGAGGAACGCAGTGGTCCAACCTGTCGCATAGCTTAAAGGATTCGCCATAGCTAATAGAAACCCCCACAAAAATATTTGCACCCATGGTCTACCTATCTCTTGTTAGGAGTAGTTTGGTTGTGTACCATCAATCAAGGTAGCAAGCAGGTTGTTCCTGTGTCAGGTACCCAAATCCGTATGGATAAGATCAGTTCTCCATGGGAGGATGTGTATGTATCGAACGAAACAGCGCTAGTATGAATCTAAACGGCTGGTAGCTTTATATGAAATCATATTAATGCAACTGCTGCCGTCAGTGCTTGATTTATCCTATAACATTCATAAAGTTTCGTAACAATTGAAGGGACTAGTGATCAACCAGTTCCAGGAAGCTCTTGCCAAACAGCTACTGCCGAATCTGTTTTATGCATAAAACCTCAGTAAGCTTACACCTTTTAGTGGATGATTAACAAAATTCTCTTAAGCTGAGACACGCGCTGCCAGGATATAGATCATTATTATCCATTCGGATTCTTTTCTCATCAAAATGGGTCCAAGCAACTTGTCATTCCCATTAGTGTCCAAACTGGATTTGCGTCCGACGTTGTAAGTCAGGCACAACAGCAAGGTATCTGTGCAAGGTGACTCACGGCGCCCACTGAATACTTTCTGGAATCGGATGCCTAATTCAAAAGTGCAAGCGCCTTATACTGATGCGTTGATGTCGGCGGCTATCGCTGAAATACGTTGATTAATCACCAATAATATGAAGGCAATCCGGTTAAAGTAAGTAAGTATTTATGGCTTGAAGTTCCCCGACAAGACTTCACATGCATCTGCTCATTGGGTTCCTTTGTATGTCAGACTACAAAAAGGATCAATTTTAAATAGAATACTTCTTCACACAATAAGTGACAAAACGATAGTTTGTACCTGAGGCAAAATGAGACCAGAAGTTTCGGTACTTCTGCCAGATTAGTTTTATGCTTACGACATGTTTTCCAATGTAAGCTAACCGCCAAGCATGTGGAGCCACTTCGGCAGCATCAGCGTATGTCATACATTCCATATGATGTGCAAGAGCCTCGCAGTGGCCCCTAGGTTACTCAAAATTTATTTTGGGGTAATCTCACAAACCATGTCAAGGTGGTGGCAAAATGTACTGGTTTAGCTCTACATTAGCTACCCGTTAGGATCCGGAACCAACGTCGAATATGCTAAAACAATATGGACTAACCGACTTGTCGACCAGGACACCGTTTATGAAACGGCGCATAACGTACTCTTGGTTCTGTCGCCTGAGATGTCTATAGTCCACATACAACCGTCAAGTATCATCCTCTTTCACGGGATTAGTAGTTAATGTCCAGGAGTAGGTGGGGAGTTGGAATGTACATTTTGCTATGGCGAATGATCGAGCAACAATCTTTTTCCTTCTCTACTGTTAGATTGTAATCAATCTAGTTAAACATCTCACCGGTTTAACATCGCCGGAAGCGATGGCATGCTTTACGGTATTAGTGAAACCCAACCTCGGGTTCCTCATTCCAAAGTATCGGAACGCTTCTGTAAAGTGCCTTCAAAACATTTAGGGATACACTGGTCACTGTTTGACCAAAGTCAAACCATCAGCATTTATGGCCAAATGATTCCTACCGGGGACACACAGATGGAGTATTCCTCAATCGTTATTCGTTGGTGGCAGTTAAACGTAATATTACGGGGTTCACTGATCAAACGGAATTACGTCAAACACAACTGAGATAAAGCGTTGAAAAGTAATACTCATCTCTCGGATTTTGTGTAATACTGAACACAGATAGAACTGGGTCTAATGTATTAAATATTTTTCATGCTATTCCATTATCGTAATATATATGAATTATTGCAGAGAATCAGTGATATAGCTCATGGGTATAAAACGATGGACATTACCGGTGTAGCTTTTGATTCTTATATTAGATAACTTTTTTCAAAAGGACGACGACCGTCTGAAATTTTTATGCTAAGTTCATTGCGTTCGGAGATAGTATCCATGGTACGCTATGAGGAACGAATTAGAGAAGACAGCGGCAAAACTGCAGGTTGTGTATATTTCTTATATCGATAGTCAGCACCGAACTGTTAGTTAAAGCTTAGTAAAAAAACCCATAACAAGCTTCGATCATTTCCTAAGGCTTTTGAGACAATCATCATCAATTTACACGTCAGCTAGTGGTGGGAAAACACCTCCGCTATGGTGCCGCAATACATGAAGGAAATACATACATACATATAGTACATCACACAAAGGAAAAGAGATACAACAGTTGCAAGCGAGCTGAGCTATCAGCAACGGATAGGCATCGTTCCGGTAAGCTACCAGCCAGCTGCTAGGCAAAATGAAAAAGTTATTATGTTTTACCCAGGAAATGAGATCGTATATGGAGGGGAGGCTAAAAGGGATGGGGAGGGAGAAGAAACTCACAGCACACACGCCCCTGAGGTCGGCTCCTTGCCATGTCAGCAAGTGTATCCAGCCAAACGTGTTCACCGTCATTTGGACCCCAACCAGGGAGCCGTGAGGCTCCAACCGAGGCTAACTCCGAAGTGAAGGACTTCATTACCCTGGACCAAGTCATAGCCTGGCCACCTTTCCTCTTCTTTCACCCACATCCCCAGTGAGAAAACAACGCACGTCGAGGGAGTCGGTGGGCTGGCATGCGTAACAAGTGGCCCAGCCATCGAGGCCTGGTGCGAGAAATAACGGTGCTGAGCGCTTTAGACCCTTTTCCTGGGCGGTAAACAATGCGTCAATCACGCAGTGTTCCCACCGGATGTGAGCCAAACTGCGAACGCACCGATGGTCGAACGTAACTAGCCTCTTCATGTCCGCCGATCTTAGGGGCCAGGTTTCGCAACCGTACAGTAAGGTCGAAAGTACCGCTGCATTGTACACTCTACCCTTCAGGGCGAGAGTGATATCGCGCCGCCGCCATAGGTGGAGAAGGTTAGCAAAAGCAATTCGAGCTTTTGCTACACGGTTCGTGTTATCGCCTTCGATCCCAAGGGCGCTGATACAACTTCCCAGGTAATTGAATTTCTGAACGACTTCTAGCTGATCCCCACCAAGGGTCAGCGCTGGTGGCGATCCCTGTCAATCATAAAGAAACGCTTTGCATTACGATGGTGCAAGCAAAGCCCGAAGCGGCTGAGCGTCAGTGCTAATAGGGTCCAGCGCGGCTTGGCACGTCTGGGAGCCGTCAAAGATGACGGCAATGTCGTCTGCTTACTCCAAGTCAAGAAGCGCTTCTCCTGGAAGTAACTCCACACATTTCAAGTCACGTCCGGTAAATACAAACTCCATGGCTTCGTCAATAGCGAAGTTGAAGAGGAAAGGTGACAGCAAGCATCCTCCTCTCACACCGCTAAAGATATTGAATGGTGGAGACAGCTTGCCGTAAGCCCTTACTATGCCCGTGCTACGCGCATATAATGCTCGGATGAGATTCACATATTTCTACGGGCACACATTTCCTGAGTAGACAATTCCAAAGGGCATATCCATCAACCGAATCGAAGG